CCTAATATCCTGCCTCCTCTTTTCCCCACAATAACCTTGGGCTCAGAGAGAGGGATTGGCCTAAAGTGACCCACACAGCCAATTTCATATCTCAGGGAAGCCTAAAACTCATTAGTTTACTGATTTCTATGCCAGCTCTTTAATCATTACAGCAAACCAGCTCTTTAGATTGGGATATATATATATATATATATAGTGGAGTATATTTGGATTTCTATTTGTTTTATTCATCCACTTGCCCTTTTCCTCAAGCACTCAATCCTTTTAAAGATATTCACACGGATACTCTAGAATCACAAGATGCTCTTACAGCATCCTACTACTTGGGATAATAACAATTTAAATAAAATTAAACCAATGCAGACATATAAAATCAGGAAGAGCAATGAGACTTATCTTACTCCTTATCCTGTTGATCTACAAACCAAAAAAGTGTTTGCATTTCCTGGATACCCAAATAATTTTCCCCTGTGTAAAATATTGCTCTTCAAATATAGTGGTTCAGTCTTTATTGATCATAAGATTTCTGGCTCTTTTTTCCCCCACTCCTCATAATCATATACATGCATATAAAAAAATACATACATACTTGTTTCTCTGTGTGCACATACAGATGTACAGGACCATTTTTTAAAATAATGTGTGTTTATTTGTAGTTTATCCTCCCTCTGAGGATATGCAGGGGGAAATAATTTTTCTGCTGTGGATATGAAAGGTGAAAAAACAACCATGCAGAGGTGAGGCTTGACATTAATCACCCCTTGATATTCTCAAAGCCTAAAATTCTTCTTCTTGTTGTTAATTGCGAAGTTGTGTCCGACCCATCGCGACCCCATGGACAACGTTCCTCCAGGTCTTCCTGTCCTCTACCATCTTCTGGAGTCCATTTAAGTTCACACCTACTGCTTCAGTGACTCCATCCAGCCATCTCATTCTCTGTCGTCCCCTTCTTCTATTGTCCTCAATCTTTCCCAGCATTAGGCTCTTCTCCAGTGAATCCTTCCTTCTCATTAGGTGGCCAAAGTACTTGAGTTTCAACTTCAGGATCTGGCCTTCTAAGAGCAGTCGGGGTTGATCTCTTCTAGGACTGATCGGTTTGAACGCCTTGCAGTCCAAGGGACTGGCAGGAGTCTTCTCCAGCACCATAGTTCAAAGGCCTCAATTCTTTTGCGCTCAGCCTTTCTTATGGTCCAACTTTCACAGCCATACATTGCAACTGGGAAAACCATGGCCTGGACTATACTCACTTTTGTTGGCAGGGTGATGTCTCTGCTTTTTAGAATGCTGTCTAGATTTGCCATAGCTTTCCTCCCCAGGAGCAAGCGTCTTTTAATTTCTTGGCTGCAGTCCCCATCTGAGGTGATTTTGGAGCCCAGAAAAATAAAATCTGTCACTACCTCCATTTCTTCCCCATCTATTTGCCAGGATTGAGAGGGCCGGATGCCATGATTTTGGTTTTCTTAATGTTGAGTTTCAAGCCAACTTTTGCACTCTCCTTCTTCACCCGCATCAAGAGGCTCTTTAGTTCCTCTTCACGTTCTGCCATTAGAGTGGTATCATCTGCATATCTTAGGTTGTTGATATTTCTCCCGGCAATCTTAATTCCAACTTTTGATTCATCTAGCCCTGCCTTTCTCATGATGGGCTCTGCATATAAGTTAAATAGGCAGGGTGACAGTATACAGCCTTGCCGGACTCCTTTTCCAATTTTGAACCAATCAGTGGTTCCGTGTTCGGTTCTCACTGTTGCTTCTTGACCCGCATATAGGTTTCTCAAGAGACAAATGAGATGGTCTGGTACTCCCATCTCTTTAAGAAATTGCCACAATTTGTTGTGATCCACACAATCAAAGGCTTTTGCATAGTCAATGAAGCAGAAGTAGATGTTTTTCTGGAACTCCCTAGCTTTCTCCATGATCCAGCGTATGTTGGCAATTTGATCTCTAGTTCCTCTGCCTCTTCAAAATCCTGCCTGTACTTCTGGTAGTTCTTGGTCCACATACTGCTGGAGTCTAGCTTGTAGGATTTTAAGCATAACTTTACTAGCATGTGAAATGAGTGCAATGGTGCGATAGTTTGAACATTCTTTGGCATTGCCTTTCTTTGGAATTGGAATGTAAACTGACCTTTTCCAATCCTGTGGCCACTGTTGAGTTTTCCAATTTGCTGGCAAATTGAGTGTAGCACTTTTACTGCATTGTCTTTTAAGATTTTGAATAGCTCAGCTGGAATACTGTCACCTCCACTAGCTTTGTTGTTGCTCAGATTTTCTAAGGCCCATTTCACTTCACATTCTAGGATGTCTGGTTCGAGGTCCGTGACCATCTCATTGTGGTTATCTGGGATGTTAAGCTCATTCTTGTATAGTTCTTCTGTGTAGTTTTGCCATCTCTTCTTAATCTCTTCTGCCTCTGTTAGGTCTCTGCCATTTTGGTCCTTTATCATGCCCATCTTTGCATGAAACGTTCCCTTCATAGCTCCAATTTTCTTGAAGAGATCTCTGGTCCTCCCTATTCTGTTGTTTTCTTCTATTTCTTTGCACTGTTCATTTAAGAAGGCATTCTTATCTCTTCTAGCTATTCTCTGGAATTCTGCATTCAGTTGGGTGTATCTTTCTCTTTCTCCTTTGCCTTTAGTTTTCCTTCTTTCCTCAGCTATTTGCAAAGCTTCCTCAGACAGCCATTTTGCTTTCTTGCATTTCTTTTTCTTTGGGATGGTTTTAGTTGCTACCTCTTGTACAATGTTGCGAACTTCCATCCATAGTTCTTCAGGCACTCTGTCTATCAGATCTAATTCCTTAAATCTATTTGTCACCTCTACTGTATATTCATCAGGAATATGATTTAGTTCATATCTGAGTGGCCTAGTGTTTTTCCCTACTTTTTTCAATTTAAGCCTAAATTTTGCAACGAGAAGCTCATGATCTGAGCCACAGTCAGCTCCTGGTCTTGTTTTTACTGACTGTATAGAGCTTCTCCATCTTTGGCTGCAGAGCACATAGGCAATCTGATTTCTATGTTGACCATCTGGTGATGTCCATGTGTAGAGCCGTCTCTTGGGTTGTTGGAAAAGAGTGTTTGTTATGACCATCGTATTCTCTTGACAAAATTCTATCAGCCTGTGCCCTGCTTCATTTTGTACTCCAAGGCCAAACTTGCCTGTTATTCCGGTTATCTTTTGGCTTCCTACCTTAGCATTCCAATCCCCCATAAGGACATCATTTTTTTGGTGTTAATTCTATAAGGTGCTGTAAGGCTTCATAGAACCAGTCAATTTCATCCTCTTCAGCACCAGTGGTTGGGGCATAGATTTGGACTATTGTGATATTGAATGGTTTGCCTTGGATTCGAATTGAGATTCTTCTATAAAAAGGTAATTTAAAATAATGTAGGCACAGATGTGAGGAATCCTTGTGCACCAGCTCACATCTCAGGAATTCAACAGAAGAATCAGGGAAGGGGTCAGAAAGAAGAAAAGTGATCAAAGACACCCCCTTTCCTTGCAAACAAACAGTTATGCACACACACACATACAGAGAGAGAGAGAGAGAGAGGGAGGGAGAGAGGGAGAGAGGGAGACAGAGAGACAGAGGGAGAGAGAAAGAGATCAAAGTTCTACATTCTAGGTCTTTCTTCTTAAGCAGATTACCACTGTTAAGAGAAAAAACAAACAAAAGCAGTCAAAGGAAAGAAAAAAATATTGGCTGATGAATAAAGGCTGTCAACAGCTTCTATTCTATTAAATCCTAAGGAGACATTGCTCGCTGTGTTCTGGCAAATCTGTCCGGAAGCAACCTTTAATAGGACAACTCTTCAAAGCGTGGACAACTTCAGATATTGAATGATTCCCCCTGTAGCCCTTCAGATAGAAGGCAGCCTATTGGAAAGGAGGAATCCATGGCTACTGTTCCCAAAATAGTTTCTTATATTCATTCGCTCAGTCTACAAAAGGAGCCAGCAGAACTTAGTACTGTAAGTTTTCATTTAAGGTCTAATTTCTAATTTTTACATTTCCATGCTCTGGTGTTCTGTGTATTATTATGTATCAGGAACATATGTAAACTGATTAAGTGAGGTAAAACCAAAACAAAGAATGCTCTTAAATCAGCTGTTCTTTGCTGGGTGCCTTCAAGTCAGTCTTGACTCCTGGCAGCAATTTTCTTGGTAAGATTTTAGAAGTGGTTTGCCCTTGCCTTCTTTTTCCTAGGGCCAAGAGAGTGATTGGCCCAAGGTCAGCCAGGTGGCTTTGTGCCTAAGGTAGAACTAAAACTCACTGTCTTACAGATTGTAGTCTGGTGCCTTAACCGCTACACTAAACTGGCTTTGTTTATTTCAATTGCCATTTGCAATTTTCCACATTGATTTGAGCTCCTGAGACCTGACATGGTGTTGTTGAACGAAGTAAATAAGGAAACAAATGGGAAGAAATATCTGGGAAATTAAGATGAGAGAAAGGGGGCAGAAATGAAGCATTCTTTCCTGTCTTGAATGCATTTAACAGCATTTCTCCTCATGACAGCAAGAGTCAGTGACTGAGCTGGCCCAGACTGATAGAAATTGTAGTCCACAATAGCTGGAGGATATTGGGAAAAGCTGGTGTAAGACAAGAGAAGGAACCCTGATCAGAGAGCCACTCCACTGTGTTGCAAATGGTATGGCCGTGATTCAATCCCCTTTTAATCCAGTGGCTTTTTTGTACGTTCCACTCAGCTAAAAGTAAAACTTGAGCTGTGAGTTGAGTTAGCTTTGGGCAGAAAGTCTGAGAAACTTGGAGAGGGCCCATGGATTCCCCCTCTAGCAACTTGCACAACAAGCTCTATCATCACTGCCACAGAAAGTTCAAACTTGTCTGGTTGATTTTCAAAGTTTGTTTTTTAAAGGAAAATCTAACAATAAGGAAAGTAACCGGTTGGATAACATCAGTGGGTGGAACTAACTGTTAGCTCCCAGCCCAGCCCAGCCCAGCCCTAACCTACCCTGGCCAAGCCTTGCTTGTGTTCACACCAACAGTTACTGAACAGTAGAGCTTAATCATTCCAGGTGTTTGCAGAAGGAAATAACTGCCCATCTGGTCGCCTTTGGGATTTCAAGACCCCCAAGCTTAGGCACGTGGGAAATTCTGTCCGTCGCCTCTGAGAGGATGCTGCAAGGAAACAAGAGATCCAAGATGCCAAGCACTGTACGTCTTATCCATTCTCATTCTCTCTCTCTCTCTCTCTCTCTCTCTTCTCTCTCTCTCTTCTACTGCCTTTCCATCTTGATTAATAAGCCAACTTTAAGGCAGCCAGTGTTGAGCTGTTCTAAGCAAGGGCAGGGCAGTTTTATAACTTGGCTCTAGCTACTGTAAGCAGGATGGCATTTCAGTGCATATCCTAGTGCAGAATGCATTAGTCTGCTTGGAAACAGGCAAGTCTTATAAATATCTGGTGAAAGCATGTACAAATTGCACTTTGAAAATACCCTTTATTGGGAGCCAACCCACAATTACTTCAGAACAAGAATCCTGAATGCACAGAACGCTTGGTTGGGTGGCAAATTGTAGGCAAGCAAATTCTTTGGGGGTCTTTAAATAGTTTGCAACTTATGGCCTTATCAACTAAGGCTTGAGCTCTCGCGTAGGATGGACCCAGTGAGGTGGTCAAGAGCATTTTGCTCTCCTCCATATCCTCCATAATCTTACCACATTGTGGGTGATCTTGTTTAGAAACTCTGGTGCTGTGAACTTGAGACTAAAATTCAGAAATCCCACACAGGGCATAAATGGGCAGGCATGTCTCCATTTCCAAAATGCAATTCTCTTGTGGTCAAGTGAGATCGTGTTTCTCGGCATAGCACACATAGTGTACTTATGAAATTGACTGTTATGAATTGTGGCATAATGGCCGTGTTTGATGGGGCCAAAGGAATAGAAATATACATAGCAAGTGATGAGGCTCTCAGAGTCTATTAGCCAATGCAATCTAGTGTTTTCCCCTTGCAATGGGCTTCAGCTTCCGTAATTTCAAAACGAATTTAATGCTTCTTGTTGGTCAAATGTCATAGTCATGAATGTGCTGGGGAATAAATAAAAAGTAATGCCCCAGCTTTAAGCTTTGCTATTTTGGGTGTGTGTGTGTGTTGTTTGTCGTTTTTCTTCAGGTGAACATTAGAAATTGAGTTGGCAATCCAATTTATTGTGTTTATAATGATGTCTGAGGAAATGCTGAGAGTCTGTTTGAGAGAAATAGAGCAGTGGACTTTTTACAGTTACAAATAACGAATAACTTCAGGACAGCTTCATCCACAGAGTTACAATGAAGCATAGCAAAAATGTTCTACTTGACTGGAAAGAACATTACTGTAAAGTTCCTTAGTCTGGAAAACCATTTTTGTCATGAATAACACCATTTACTACAAATATATAACTTGGGCAGGTAAAAATGTTTTATCTTTCTCAAGAAGTCAGCATTTCCTTTTAAGAGACAGAGTGTGACTATACTGCATATGCTAAGACAGAAAGGAATGGTAGCGACAGTGTGGGAATCTGAAGTGAGAGGGATGGCCTGGGTGGGAACTGCTGATGAATTCCAAATACTCTCTGCAGATTTTGGAAAGCAATCCTCTCTTGTTCTCATTTCCCAAGCAATAAAAGCAAGATACTAATGAAATATTTAATTGGCTGCTGTGAAGAAGAATGAGCGCTTCACCTCATAGAATATGTGTGGGAAGAAGAATTTGGAAATACATAGCATGGAAGTGTAGTGAACAAGGCTTTTCATTTGGGTCTCTAGCTACACAACAGGAAGGACTGATCTGTCCCTCCGATGCACCCTTTGTTTCTCAAATTAGGGCAACAGGGGAAAGAAGAGAGGCTTTCCCCCTGTTTGTTGTACCAGCTACAACTTATCTGCAAGAATGGACTGGCACACGCTGATGAAGGAGACTATATTCCTTTTCGAGTTGTTATTTCTCAAAATTGCTTATGGTTGCACATGCTATAAATTAAATGAGTGCTGGAGGCTATAAGGGTAGGCGTGGGTTTGAAGGACTTGTTCATTCTGTCTACGTTCTTTCCAACCTGAGCAAGGGCCTTTCCCAGTGAAGAACAGATTGGGCTCGCAGGAGCAGGACCAGCTCATATGTGGACCTTCCATTTTTGCTCAGTTAGCAAAGGAAAAGTGGGATAAAGGAGAGTCTTGTATTGCCTTCCTATGGGGAATTTTATTTTTTTTAATCAAGATACTTAAAAGCCAAATGTTCTATCTAGAGAGTCCCTTTTTGTTCACTGAAGTTTAAACATTCCCCGGGCTGCCCCCAATTTGGAACCCTCAAACAACAGGGAAGCTGGGGGTCATGGCAGATTCTTATTGCCTGCCTATCAAGAATCCAGATTTTTCATGTCAAGTTCTAGTATTACATTTTCTATATTCTACAGATAGTCTTTGACTTACGACCAGTTGTTTAGTAATTGTTGGAAGTTGCAACCACCCTGAAAAAAGGGGGATTTGCAACCCAGATCCTATGTTCTGATGGTTGCCCCCCCCATCCATGGTCACGTGACTGCACTTTTGGTGCTCAGCAACACGGCTGCATTTATGGCCATTTGTGGGGTTCTCTGATCACATGATTAGTTATATGATGGTTTTGACAAAAACCAGAACTTCTGGCTTTCAGCAAAACCATGCCATTGTGAACAATGGGTTTACTTAACAACTATGGCATTCACTTAACATTGCTATATGACCAACCCATTTCATGACTTACATCCATACGGGCAGGTTCCATTATGGTTGTAATTTGAGGACTACCTGTATTCAGAACTTCATCTTTTTTGAGTAACATTTAAGTCTTTATATTGCTGGAGACTGAAGTGGGAAAGTGTTCATGGGATTTTCTGTGTTCTTATTCTTCCAGCCTGGGAGGAAAAATAATCTGTTGCCTTACTGGTGAGACTAAATCTCTGATAAACAAGTTGAATAGAGGTGCTTATCCTATGTTGTTGCTACCCAGATATGCTAGAATTCCATAATTCCCAACTCTGGAGTCCTAAGGCATCTGGAGAGCACTAGGCTGGGGATGTTTTGACAGGCCCTTTCAATTTCCTTTTGCTTGTCTCAAGCGTCATATGTTAAAAAATAAATACCCAGTAGTCATTACCCATGCTAATTCATTATTTTGAATTTACATATTCATAGTCTTCCTAATGCTTATTATTCTTTTGCCTTTAATCTTCTCTTGTTCTCCATTATTGACATTGTTCTGAGGGAACCCTAATACAGATAATTGAAAATAGTGTGCCTGGAACGTACATATGTACATATACACACATCCATACACCATCATACCTTTCTCTTTTGGGGCAAGCAACATTACAAAAATGCAGAAATGGAGTAAGAACGATAAGCTAAAGACATTAAAGGCATGAGATTACACAGTGAAAGGAACTATAGCTAAACGTAATACATACAGCACCATACACTATTTCTGTCCATGCAAGCCATCCCTTACTTCTATGACATAATACATATATGTTGTTTTCTTTAAACTTCTCACCTTTTTCTTTCAGAGGAATTCAATTTCATCCAGCCATGACTTTCTCAGTCTTCCCCTTCCTCTCAACCATTCATATATTGTTTAGAGAATTGATCTTTGTTCCTTCTTTCTGCAATGATCAAGTCATACCTTAGTATTCAATCCATACTGTTCATTGTTACTCCCTTGATCTTTTCTAGTTTTATTATGCACATTTCTTAAGTACTTCTCCCACTTACATTTATGTTTTTCTGACATATTCAACTCTTATTCCACATGACAATGGACCAAAGTATACTTTTATACTCAGCCATGTTTGCTTCTTTCAAGAAGCATCATATACTATTCGTTAAGATTCTATCAGCACTTGCACAACTTAAGAGGTCTCCATGCATTTTTTTTATCTTGAATAAGTTTTCTACCAAGAAATACAAATTTATCTTGCTCCACTTTTTCATTTCCAAGTGTTCATTCCATTTTCCCTGTCAAACACAGCCTCCTAGATATATATTTTTCAATCCATGCTTCATCATCCTCATTGCATCAGACAATCTAACATTCAAACATATCATTTGAGTTTTCATCCAACAATATAAGATTGTCTTCATATAAATGTACACTCTCATTTATGTCTTCAACAGCACTCCACCAACTTCACCAAAACCCTTCCTGCCATATAGCAGTTCTTGATTTATGACCACAATTGAGCCCAAAATTTCCTTTGCTGAGCAAGACAGTTGTGAAGTGACTTTTGCCGTATTTTATGACTTTTCATGCCACAGTTGTTAAGTGAATCACAGCAGTTCTTAGATTTCCCTATTGACTTTGCTTGTTAGAAAGTCACAAAAGGGGATCACATGACACCAGGACACTGCAGCAAACATAAATACCACAATGCCAGTTGCCAAGTGTTTGAATTTTGATCACATGATTGCATGGATGCTGCAACAATCGTAAGTGTGAAAACGGTCATAAGTCACTTTTTTCAGTGCTGTTATAACTTCGAATGGTCACCAAATGAACTGTTGTAAGTCGAGGACTATCTGTACTCAAGATTTGTTTTCATTCCTGCTCATGTTGAACCACTCACTAAGCACTCCATCTAGTCTCACACTTGCTTTACTTACTGCTCTCTTCTTACTCAGTAAGCAACAGTCAACTTCATATTCATACAAAACACTACATAGTTCAAGCTACTTTATCCTACTCTTTCTCTAAATCAGTAAATATTCAATAAGCTTTCCTTCCCACATTCTAACCTAAAGACTCCTGTGGGCATAAAGCTGCCCTGCGTTTTGCTCCTTGCCACTTTGTGTGTAGTCTTTGATTAGACTTCTACCCAGCTCCTTCCCAGGTACATCTGACAAACTAAACCCTACAGCAGTGGTTCTCAACCTGTGGGTCGGGACCCCATTCGGGGTCGAACGACCATTTCACGGGGGTCGCCAAACAATGCAGTCTGCCATTCTTTTTCCCCTTTTCCTTAGCTGTGCTACTCCCTTTTATTCTATTGGCTTTTGAAAGCCAATAGAATAGACTCTCTTGAATAGAGTCTAATTCTATTGGCTTTCAAAAGCCAATAGGAATTGTCCAGGCTGTCTCTGCCCTGCTGAGCCCGCCAAAAGTCCCATTCTGCAAACGGTGCTGCACCAGTTGAGTAGTCCTCAA